CGTTGAGTTCGTGCATTGAGAACGTAATTGAGCGTTTAACTTTTGCATTTTTTATTGATTATGATGTTATACTTTGTGGGAGGACAGATATCGAACATTCTTTTCGAAAATCATAATTTACTGTAACAAAATTTGTGAATTCTATTATAATAATAAGTGGAGATTTGGTTAAGTTGCTGCGCCATTTTGTTTAAGTGCACACTAGCTATATGTAAGATATACTTAAGATGGCCGCCATACGATGTATTCAAGATGGCCGCCGTAAGATGGCCTCCTCGCTCCACCTCACGATTTATTTATCTTATAACTCACGTATTTCACAATTATTCATAAATCTAACTTTGCAGAACCAAAGAATGACTTTGAAGAATTAAGTAGAACTTGTTAAAAAGATTACAAAGTACTTTATCATTAAATAGTTTAAGTTTACAGAATTTAAGAACTTTACTGTTGTGAATCTTTCTAACAAAAACGTTTCCATCCATTCAGACAAAAGTTAAAACGAGACAGAAACCTAAGTGAATTACGTTTATTCCGGTGAAATATTAAGAATGTTTTATCGACGTTCAACGATTTTCACGACAGCGCGTTACAGCCCGAGAAAGCAAGAACAAACGCAGGAAGCGGCCGTTTAATTACGAGGACATGTTGAACCGCGCCAAAAAGGACAAAAGCGAAGGAAAAGAAAGGAATGGAATTAAGCGGCTTCGGACGCGAACAATTAGATGGAAAATGAAAAAAGAAAGAAAGGGACGAACAGAATACAGCGCAGGGAGCCGAAAAGGTGGGCTCGAGCGTAAAAAAATATGCTAAAGGACGTGGAAAAAAAAGGAGTTCCGAGGGTGGAGAGAAGGCATTATATAAATTCAGAGAGACCCACGGGCTGGACGCGTCCCATCTCTAATGGGTCCACCCATTATGACAATTGCATCCACCGGATATATAAAACTAAGCAAAAAACATGGACAGAGAAAGGGGACAACGAAGCGTAACAACGATATGCCTTCGAGAGAGGAGAGAAACGCGAAGAAAATGAGGCGCTGGAGAAAGATGCTTCAGAATGATATTTCACCTTGTAAATTAGAATAATTTCAGATTCTTTTGTTGCATTTTAGATACCTTCTCTCGTGTTTAATGTTCGAAGATCGTTATAGGATTTTTTGAAGGGTGACTTTTTAAAGTTAGTTTCAATTTTCATATTTTCGGTCTTTTGTAAGTTGTCCATAATTTTGAATATTAAATTTCTGAATTTTTAGACTTGCAAATTTTCCTCTTGGTAACTATTAAATTAAGTACTGAAATAACTATTAAAATTACCCTATTTAATACATTCTACCACAAAGACCCTATATGCAAATTAATAGGCGTCGCACAAAGACTTAGAGACATAACCTAAAAACTTGCAACTCTCTTAACTATATAATTATTTCATACCTTTCTTTTAATTAATTAATTCCTCCTAAAATTCCCCCATAGAATTACACGAAATATCTACAATTACCTCCAAGGTTACCCAGCACAGAGTAAATATTTTTACACAGAATTACACGAAATATCCACTATTTTCTCTCATTGAAGTTGATTAGTACACAAAATTCTGTACACGTACGTGCACTTAATACCGTGCATTCGTATAAAGAGAAAAAATTGTAGCAACCGAGTGGCTGTTCGTAAATATCATACAGCAGCCAGTTATACGGTGTGCTCGTTAAACAATATTTGTTTTAGCGTTTCGACGCTGCTTTTCTCCTCCGACTGTCTGCATTGCCGGCCGTTTCTCGAGAGTCACTCTTAAATTTCCTCACGGTTCGCTGAAATTCCCTCGTCTTTTTCTCTTGCCGTCGTTGTTCATCTTTTTTCCCGCTCCTCTGCACCCGGGATAACAGTGGATCATGGAAAGGCAAATTTTCACACTTTGTGAACAAGATTAATTCGAATTCGCCATCCTTCTGACGTTCTTGCTTTTCACGTTTAACTTTGGTTAAAATTCTGTTTCATTTATTATTTTAATCTTTGCTAATTGTATATTATTCATTCTTAACTGTATGTGTGACACACGTATTACACATGTGTAACATATGCATGATTATTTCATATGAAAAATATTTTTGACTGTAACATACACGTACATATAACACATGTGTAACATATGCATATAACACATGTGTAACATATGCATGATTATTTCATATGAAAAATATTTTTGACTGTAACATACACATATGACACATGTGTAACATATGCATGATTATTTCATATGAAAAATATTTTTGACTGTAACACATACGTACATATAGCACATGTGTAACATACACGTATAACACATGTGTAACATATGCATGATTATTTCGTATGAAAAATATTTTTGACTTGAAATTAAAATTGCTTTTATATGATCATATAGTCGCATGATTATTTCGAATGGAAAAATATTTTCCACTAAAATTAAAATTGTTTTCATATGAGTGAAATGTGTAATACATGTAATAAGAACACTATGATAATTTTCTAAAGATTAAAATTGCTTTTATATGGATTAAATGTACAGTACATACAATAAGAACAAAATAATAATTTTCTAAAAATAGATATAAATTAAATATCACAATACAGCAAGAATAAAATATAATTAAATATGTCTTACACGTAAGACAATTTTCTAAAAATGCACATAATTTAAGTAAAACGATTAATATACCAAAAATGAAATAAACTTAAATATCCTTTTATTCTATCAGCATTGAAGTCATATTTCACCCACATGAAAGCTAATAATTATACAATATTCGTTTTAAATAAAATATCAAACGATTTAGAAGATTAAAATGTATCGAACGGTATCGTGTCCGACAGTCCAGTAATTCAGAATGGAGACTCGACCAGTATATTTCACGCGAATACCTCTTTTTTCAATCATCGTAGCGCACTTTAACTATCGATAGGCGTCGAATCGCGCCACCCTCGGCCCATAACTTTCCACTAATGTCCGCGTGCTGCGCGAGTACCGAGGCAGCGCGATTAAATCGCGAACTGATATTGGCACATGGCGAAATTTACAGCGAATACTTCGCGACGTTTCCAGTCCTGTTCCCAGAATTTTAATTGAACGTCTGGCGACGCGTTTCCCTTCGTCGTTTGTATTATATTTGCTTGCGGATTGATTCTGTTTTGATGCAATACGCTAGCAAATGCAGTTGCGTAATTCTGTTTTGTTACTGTGGTACTGTGAATAGTATGTTCAGGAATTAGGGAATTTGAGGGACTCAGTCAATAATTTGTTTTGAACTATGTTTTGTATTATTTTGTGTGATTTGCAACTCTTAAGTTTGACTTTGTATGATTTTGTATTGGTCGCAAAGTTTTGTATAATTTTATGACAGTTGTAAACTTCATTTTGTATAATTTTATATTGGTCTTAAATTTAATTTTGTATAATTTTGCGTTGGTCTTAAATTTAAGTTTGTATGATTTCACATAACCTCTAAATTTAATTTTGTATTACTTCACATAACCTCTAAATTTAATTTTGTATAACTTCACGTAACCTCTAAATTTAATATTGCATAACTTCACATAACCTCTAAACTTAATTTTGCATAATTTCACACAAGCTCCCAAATTTAATTTTGTTCAAAATTAAATTAAATTTCACACAGCCCCTAAATATAATTTTGTATACTTCCTCACAACCCCCAAATTTAATTTCTTATAATTTCACACAACCCCTAAATTTAATTTTATATACTTTCTCACAACCCCCAAATTTAATTTCTTATAATTTCACACAACCCCTAAATTTAATTTTGTTCAAGATTATATTAAATTCCACACAGCCCCTAAATTTAATTTTGTATACTTTCTCACAACCCTCAAATTGAATTTCTTATAATTTCACACAACCCCTAAATTTAATTTAGTAAAATTTCCCACAACCCCAAAATTTAATTCTGTATAATTTCCCCCAACCCTTAAATTTCACCTCGTACAATTTTGCAACAATGTTAAAACAGAATTCTCATTTCACAACAATGTTAAAATAGAATTCTTAACGAAGGAAACTTTATGGAATAACTCGAACGTACGTTGAAAACTGAGAGCAAGGTGTTGAAATTACTACTAGTTAACCACCATAAATTAATGTCATCAAATAGATTAAATATGTGTACACGTTATGCAAGTTTACATATATGTGTACATTTACAGATATGTAAATAATGAACAGATTCACGGACATGCAAATATTTCACCCTTCCACAAATATGCAAATAATTGACATATTTGCAAGCATGTATACAATTTACACATTTACAAATATGCGCATATTTTATAGGTTTGCAAATATCACAGTGATTTATACATTTAAAAATATGTAAATAATTCACGCATTCGGAAGTATGTCAATAATTTACAAGTTTACTAACATGACAATAATTTACTTGTATAAAAATGTGTGAATAAACTATGCGTTTAAACGATATGCAAATAATTCATGTGTTTACGTATACGTAGATACATTGATGCGTTTCATATTTCCTAATACGTAAAGAATTTGGATAAATTCTCAAATGTGCTACAAATGTTCATATTTAAAAATATGTTACTTTTTATGAATTTAAATTTTTTTATCAGTTTATGATTTTAGAGACACGACAATAATTCATGGATTTGGAAATATGTAAATGATTTATAAGTTTAATAAATGTTACTCATTTACAAATTTATAAATACATCATTATTTTATAAATTTACAAATGGGTCATTAATTTATAAATTTACAAGTACATCATTAATTTACAAATTTATAAATAAGTCGCTAATTTACGAATTTACAAATATGTCAACAGTACATCAATATTAAAAAAATGTCTAAATAATTCCCAAATTAACAAACGTGTAAATATTAATAAACCCAAGTACGCAAATCTGTATATGTATAAAAAATAAAACTGTGCCAATAAATTGATCGAAACTAACGCACAAATATTTCCATATGTTTGCAGAGTGTGATTGGGTTTACGAGGATACTGATTGTCACGACGGATGCATACTAGCCAGTCCCGGATATCCTGGCCTATATCCTCCTAACATCCGCTGTCGGTACTTAATTACTTCCGGCACCCGAATGTCTATCGCAATTAACTTCACCGCTGTGCTTCTCCCTTACAAGTAAGTACGCTTTCTAAACATTTTATCTCTTCATTTAATCAATTTTTTCTAATGTCTATCATCTTTCAACATCTCTAGAAAAGTTTTCTTTAAACAAATTTCTCTTATGTTCGCATTAGTACCACTATTCAAAAAGTAAATCCAAAGTATAGTACATACTTAAAATATATTGCAAGCTTGTGACTCAATCTTGTAGCACAAACTAATTGTCCTATCAAATGTTCACCTAATGTGCCTAAATCATGTCACAAACTTGGGACACAGTGTCAGCATGGACTAATGACCCACTGTCATGTCATTGTTCTGATGTCCATACTGAAAACATGTTACGATTTTGACATAATGTTATGACATGAAATAATAATATATCATGTCATTGTTTTAATGTGTTGGCACTGCTTAGTCAAAATTATAGGTTACGATCTTATAAAAATGCAAATCTAAAAAAAATTTGCAAATCTAAAGACATAATTTGCAATCTTTTCCCAAAACAAAAAGCACACATCAAGAGTACCCAAAAGAATTGCAGCCTGCATCCAGCAGAAATCGATGCACCTGAGATGCACTCATCTTCAAAAGTACCGAATACCCTCAGCCTGAAAAGTAAGTGGCTCTAAAGTACACCTTTAAATCGTTCAAAGGGTGGATAAGAAGGATCGCAACACGATACACGGTGTAACAAAACTTCCCTGAATTCGAGGGTTAGAAAAGTCGAAGGCGCGTCGTCGCTGACGACACGGGATGCATTATCAATCCTCATCGTCGCGACGCGGCCTTCCTCGAGCTCGCACAAAGGGCTGCAACCCTCCACGCAAAGCGGAATGGCGTATTGACTCGCGACATTCCCGGTTTTCGCGAAACGCTTTCGGTAAGAGGGGGAACCCCTCGCGAAATTGGTTTTGCCGCGTTCGTCGTCGCGTGACATTAAAACGCGCACGAAGTACGACCCTCCGTGGAAGAAGACGGCACTCCGCGAGGCAGAGGGTGTTATTTAAATATTTGCGGACGTGTCGAACGCCAGAAGTCTCTGACGTCGACTGGAAATGCTATTTGCCGGAATTATAGCGTGTCTGCGACGTTACGAGGCTACGAGCTGTACAGGGGACGTCTGACAACTTTCGTGAATGATGTTTGTAGGGTTAGGTCATTACGTTCGGGAAGTCAGATCATTAATGATTTAATTATTAAGTCAATTGCAATGTTAGGTTATTAATGTTATGATATTGTGTCACTAGTTTGTGAAGTGCTTTAAGTTAGGTCATTAATGTTTTAATTATTAAGTCAATTGCAATGTTAGGTTATTAGTGTTATGGTATTGTGTCACTAGTTTATGAAGTGCTTTAAGTTAGGTCATTAATGTTTTAATTATTAAGTCAATTGCAATGCTAGGTTATTAGTGTCATGGTATTGTGTCACTAGTTTGTGAAGTGCTTTAAGTTAGGTCATTAATGTTTTAATTATTAAGTCAATTGCAATGTTAGGTTATTAGTGTTATGATATTGTGTCACTAGTTTGTGAAGTGCTTTAAGTTAGGTCATTAATGTTTTAATTATTAAGTCAATTGCAATGTTAGGTTATTAATGTTATGATATTGTGTCACTATTTTGTGAGGTGCTTTAAGCATGCAGTATTAGAACGATCACGTGACATTAAGTTGGTAATGCAAGCTATATTATTTCACAAGTTTGTGACGTGTGTTAAGGGTGCACTAGGACATAGGTTAATATTACGCGACAAGCCATTAGTTCGTTTAGTAACATTGTATCACAAGATTGTAACATGTTTTCGGTATGAATATTAGACATGGCATTACATCAAGAGTTTGTCATAATATTAGTTCACAAGTGTGTGACGTGTGCTAAGGATGTACTAGGACATATTAGGTTAATATTACATGACAGGTCATTAGTTCGTGTCAGAACATTGTTACACTATTGCAACATGTTTTAACTCGCACCTCATTCTGAATAACATCGTTCAAAATGTTCAGCAACAAATTGTTTCAAGCAATATACCAAATGTTTCAGTACAAGTAAATATACATACAATCAATAAAATTGATAAAAAATATATGCAACCTAACCTATAATTTTTAGGTCCCTTCGGATTTCATTATGAATAACAGACTCCATATAAAGATTCATAAAAAAACAAATGACATTGTTTGAAACAGTACAGCAAACACCAGAAGTCGAATTAAAACCCATCCAAAATCCCTGGTCGATGTACAACCGCGTTAGACAAATCTGCGAAAAGTTCGGGAAGCATAAAATCACAGAGTTAATTTCTACGAATATAGTACAAACTACTTCAACAGCTTCTATCTCGTTTTCGACAGGATATACCGTTCCAATACACAACGATTCGTTTCTCGCTTTCTAATTACGAAAACGGGGAAGGAATATGCATACATCCTCAATTCAGCATGCATCTGGTCCCGTCCCTAGCGTTTCTGGCTCGTGTGCCTACTCTTAACTAGTTTCGTATTTCATTAGACGCTGAATATGTATAAAGCATCCTTTCTCGGTTCTCGTTACCGCTTGTTTTCGAACTTCGACAATTTACCGACGAATAACTTCGTTCTATTATACGTGCGGGTGTACGTGTGATCACTGTACTTGTCATGATACGTGGCGGTGTGGTGGATGATTGGCGAAAGTCGAGGTATCGTGTTATGTGTTTGATGGAGTGTGTAATTTCTGGTTTTTACTACATTTCCCATTTTCTATATTTCATAATTTATAGTTTTTGCAATTTTTACATTTCCTAATTTCTACTTTTACTAATTCACAAGTTTCCCAATTTCTAGATTTTCTAATTTCCACATTTGTTAATTTCTAAATTTTCCAGTTTTCATATTTCCCCATTTCCATATTTCCCAGTTTCCACATTTCCCAATTTTCACATTTTCCAATTTCCACGTTTCCCAATTTCCACATTTCCCCATTTTCACATTTCCCCATTTCCACGTTTCCCATTTTCCACATTTCCCAATTTCCACGTTTCCCAATTTCCACGTTTCCCATTTTCCACATTTCCCAATTTCCACGTTTCTCAGTTTCCACATATCCCAATTCCCACATATCCTAATTCTCACATATCTTAATTCTCAGACTTCTCAATTCCCAAGTCCCAATATTCTAATTTTCCCAATTCCCAAGTCCTAATATTCTAATTTTCCCAATTCCCAAGTCCCAATATTCCAATTTTCCCAATTCCCAAGTCCCAATATTTTAATTTTCCCAAGTCTTAAATTTTCCAATCCTTAACTATCCCAATACACAATTTTCCTAATTTCCCAAGGTCCCATTTCCCATTTCCCATTTCCCAAAATTTTCAACCTAAAATTACAATATCTCAAAATCCTATAATTCAGTTGCCCTAACTTCCTATAACATTAATGTCTCTCCACCGCAACCCAAAATTCATCAAACCCCCTTAAATCCCGCCCCACTTCTAAATCACCCTAAAAAACCGTGTTCCACATTTCCAATTGCCGTTTCACATCCGACTTCGACTACCCTCCCGCAATAAATTTCAAGACCGAAACAACAAATTCCCGCGAAAAAATGAAAAGCACCCCTTCAACCGTGTGAAAATATATCCGAGAGCGAAATATCTCGCCGTCGGATTGAAATACGTATGCATCCGGTTTAATGTTCCCGCCAAAAGTCATGGACGTATTAAAGTCCCGCTTTTTTACAGCTTTGTCCACGACAGCGAAGAATAAAGGCAGAGAAAGCGAAAGGGCTCGGAGATAGGAAGATGGAACGTGCATATTCTCGTTTGAAAGAAAGGGGTGGCGCACTTTTGACGTTTGCTCTTCACATGGAAACGTTCTCGAGCACTCGCCTGGTGTAAAATACTAGTCGTAGCATCGAAGAACGCGGAAAAGCAACCACGATGCACGTCCATGATTACTTCGCCCCTTTTCCACCCCTTGGCCCTCTCGTTTTTGGTCTACTGTACGGAAATTACAATCCATCCCTGCGCTTTGTCGACACGCTTGCTTATCCAGCAGCCTCGTTAGCGACGTAAACAAACTACCCCCAAATGAGTCTGTCTTCGTGTCGAGTAAATATTATTCTATCACCTCGGTTTCGAGTTGCTTTCGCCAAGTGTGCTTGCAAAGTATTGCGTCAAAGACATTTTCGGCATTTCATTATTTACGCTGGTAATTATTTTTGGGGTATTTAGGTTGCTTTCTTTTTTATTATTTACTCGTGGGGTGATATTTTGTGATATTGTGAATGTTGTAATATGTAGAATGATACAATTTATTTGTCACAGCCATAGATTTATAGATTTCCACATTCCTCAATTTCCACATTTCCCAATTTCCGTATTCCCTAATTTGCACATTTCCCCAATTCTGCATTTCCCAATTTCAAAATTTTCCAAATTCCACATTTGCCAGTTTCCACATTCCCTAATTTCTACATTTCCCAATTCCCACATTTCCCAATTCCCACATTTTCCAATTCCCAATTCCCACATTTCCCAATTCCCACATTTCCCAATTCCCACATTTCCCAATTCCCACATTTCCCAATTCCCACATTTCCCAATTCCCACATTTCCCAATTCCCACATTTCCCAATTCCCACATTTCCCAATTCCCACATTTCCCAATTCCCACATTTCCCAATTTCCAAATTTTCCAAATTCCATATTTCCCAACTTTCACATTTCTTATTTTCCACATTTCTTATTTTCCACATTTCCCAATTTCCACATTTCCCAATTTCCACATTTACCAATTTCCACATTTCCCAATTTCCATATTTCCCAATTTCCACATTTCCCAATTTTTACATTTCCCACTTTCTAAATTTTTCAAATTCCACATTTCCCAACTTCCACATTTCTTAATTTCCATATTTCCCAATTTCTACATTTTCCATTTTCCACATTTCCCAGTTCCTATATTTCCCAATTTCCACATTTCCCAATTTTTACATTTCTCCAATTCTACATTTCCCAATTTCCACATTTCTCAA